TCCGCTTCCACTCAATTTTTAATCATTCATAATTAGGGTTTTCAATTTATTCATTTACATGATATAATATATGTAAGACGCCTTAAAATTAATCTAATTAAATTTAGAAAATATTTGGACTTTAAATGATTTACTAATATTTAATTTGAGGCACACATTTTTAAAAAATAAAAATAATTTTCATTTCCCCTTAAATGCCCTCTAATTAATTCATAATTTAATTAATATAAATCGAGTCATTTAAATAAATATCATGGATCCAATGTATGAACAATAATTAATTAACAATTATATATTTCATGCATTACAAATATCACATAAATAATAAATAAATGAAAGACAAACAAATAAATGAAATGGCTAATGGACTTAGTTTTTAACATTTAAATGCTATAATTACTAAGTCTATAATTATTGCACCACATTAAACTCCCACTATCTTTAAATAATGGAGAATAACTTTAAAATCCACTTTGGGGTAATAATTAACTCTTTAATATGCGAAAACAGTACAAAATAATCATAAAAATAAGTCTGGAAGTCCACTGTAAGGTCATGTGAACTTGCAGGAGCCAAAAACCGTACAAGACCATGCCCCTACACGCGCGTCCATGCGCTGACCAAGTTTTATGCATCCATGAATGATATAAATTTGGAACCATGAATGATGATTTTCTTCAATAAAAAAAATATGAACTTTATACATGAATCAAACCTCTGATACCACTGTTGGGGAAACGGAAGTTTTTAAAACTTTATGAGGGTTTTTCAAATAAAGATTTTGATTCATGTGTAGAGACAAGTTTTATGCATGAAGAATATAATGATACATTCAATTTAGGGATAGAAAACTTATATCAAAGTTTGAGTAAACCTTAAATCTCTCCTCTAAAGTGAATATTCTCACTTATTGTAAATCCCTTTGTAAGATGCCTTCTCCTTGGATCTCCATCTTTTTAGTAATGGTCTTGCCTTTAGGAATCACCCATAAGCCTCCATGAATGACATTGGAAAGCTAGGCTTGTGTGATCCTCCATTAGATGATAACACTAACCCAGAAATTCTAGAGAGAGAAAATATTTTCTTGTCTTCTAAAATTATTTTACAAAATGTAACTTAAAATATATATAGACTCCACGTATATATAGGCAACATAAAAATAATAATTAAAGGCATTATATTTTTCTCAATTTCTAAAAGTAACGTGATATCTCAAATCTAATAGGATTCCAATATTAAATTGGGCTATCAGTGAGAATCCCATTGGGCTTATAATTTTCTTAGCTACAATGAATTAATAATTGGTCTGATCCATGGAATCAATTAAATTAATTCATTAATTAATTTCTACTCCACTAAAAGAAATTAATTGAACTCTAATTAAATAATAAATAACCTCTAAGTCAATGTTGCACTTTGACCCCTCTATGCATAATTAGTCATCGGATAAATAAAGCCATCAATCCGACTACTTAATTAATATATTTATTTTGATACTTTTGATTATTTCTGGCTTGATCACAATAAAACATTTGTTTGACAAAAATAATAATTTAAATAAATAAATATATAATAAATCATTTTGTCTAAAAACACATGAAAGCCTTTGAATTTACTTTGTGATCAACCATAATCAATACGAAGGCCTTTGAATTTACTCTGCTACATTATACATGTAACGCACTTCAGGAAGTGATTGCTAGGGTTAGGGTTTACATGTGTTCAGGCTTTTGTTCAGAGGCTTACCATCATGGAGGAGGACAACTCCTGCTCCACCCCACCGCCAGTTGTGTCTCCGGGCCAACACATTCCCCTTACCCAGCCAAAACTCTCATGGAGGAGCTGTTTTGTTTCTTCATCTTCTCCTTCTTCAGCTTTTACTAATCTGGAATATCACAGTGCTAGTCGTGGATTAAAGGTATCTATCTCTATTGATGATGTAGCGAATGAGATCGAATATTAGAAATCCTCAGTTATGGGTTATGTGCTAGGACGTCGTCCATATTTTCATAATTTTAAGGCACTTGTGGAGAAGCGATAGGCCAAAGAAGTTACACTGGTGTATCTCCAAAATGGTTTTTTCATGGTTCAGTTTTAAAATAAAGATTTGGTACATCAAGTTCTCCCAAGGATCCATACTTTTGAAGGACGTCTGATTAACATGAAACAATGGCGTAAGAATGTGGTGTTGGAAAGAGAAGGCTTGGATTTGGTACCTATTTGGACTCGTATTCATGATCTCCCAATGCATTGTCGTAATGCTTTATCGGTTTCTAAAGTTTGTTCATCATTCTCGCATCCTATTTACATGGATGACCCAGTAAAGTATAGAGATAAAAGCGGATTTATTTGTGCTATGATTGAAGTTAGTATTACTGACATTTTGCCAGAGAATATGGTTGTTGACATGCATGGTCTAGATTGTAAGGTCACATTTGAATATGAATGACAACCGCGGGTATGCTCTTTGTGTAAGAGGATTGACCATGTGGCAGTTAATTGTCCAAAGAAAATCATTCTAGCTAAATCGAAGAAAAGTAATGATAGATAGGTGATAAAACAGAAAGGGAAAATAGTGGATAAGGAAGATACAGAGAAGGTTAATGATCAAATGCCTCAACGAGTTGAAGGTTCTACTGTGCAGGTAACCCCTGTTGTTGCTGAGGCTACTAATATAATAGAGGTATCTAATGCCTTTGCTTTGTTGGGTGATGATAATGAAGAGATGTTGGAAGAAAAGGGTGAAAACAAGACTGGGGAAGTTTTGGAGTTATCTTGTACAGCTGCAGTGGGAAATAGTCTAGCTACTGAGAGCTGTACTCCAGAGAATAATGGTGAAAATGATGAGAGTTTAATCAGGGTGTTTGACTTAAATGTAGCTGATGAAGAGGGTTCTAAGGAAGTGAGTTCCAAGGGGAGAGTGGAGGAATCAGCTATTGAGGATGTTCCAATACTGGTTTTAGTTCATAAGGGTGATAAAGGTGATGCAGGTAGAGATAAAAATGGTATCAATGAAGTGAGTTCTAAGGGGAGAGTGGTGGAATCATCTACTAAGGTTATTCTAACACTGGCTTTAGTTCCTGGGGGTGATAAAGGCAATGCAGACATAGATAAAAATGATATTTCAGTGTCTGGTCCAGATTTTGATGTTTTATTGCAAGAGCAAATAGAAGAATAGCAGATGAAACCCAAAAAGAGATATCAAGCCCTACCTTCTGATAGGGTTACCAGAGGAAAACAAGTTGGTGGTTTACCAACTAAACATATTTCTTAACGCTGGGAACTTGGAATGTTAGAGGTCTAAATAAACCTAATATGCAGGCTGTTGTTAATGCCTGGATGGAAGAGAATAAATTTTCTTTGGTAGCTTTGGTTGAGACTAGAGTTAGGCAAGGTAAAGCTAGGAAAATTCAGCGCAAAATAAATGTTAAATGGGAATGGTTGGATAATTATGCTTCTCATTTTTTGGGTAAGATTTGGATTGCTTGGGATCCTATGGTGTTTGAAGTTCAACTCATTAAGGAAGATGTTCAAGTGATGTTTTTGAAGGTTAGACATATTAGTTCAGGGGAAAATGTGTTTTTTTTTGCTATATATGCTGATAATACTGTTCAAGAAAGAAGGAAATTGTGGACGAGTCTCAAAGATCAAGTTGCTGTGGTGGATTCTCCTTGGCTTACTATTGGTGACTGGACCATATCTAGATTTCATTGTGAAAAAATGGGGCGTCTGAAAGTGCCTCAATATTTCTTGGACGAATTTAATCAAGTGATCAAAGATATTCACATGGATGAGCTGCCTATTAATAATGGTGATTGGTCTTGGAGCAATAAGCAAGAGAGGAATAGAAGGATTCATGTTAAGTTGGATAGAACTCTAGTTAAAGAGGCTTGGATTCATAAGTTTACTGATACCAAAGTGCAATTGACAGCTGCTTCATTATCAGGCCATCATAGGATGGCAATTAAGTGGCATTTGGATTGTGCAGCTAGTCCAAAACCTTTTAAGTTTTTAAAAATCTGGTGCTTTCAATAAGAGGTTGAGGAGTTGGTGCTAAAAAAGTGGAATGAGCAAGTTGAAGGAAACCCTTTACACAAGCTTTAGAAGAAACTCAAAGCTGTGAAAGCTATTGTTAGAGAATGGAATAAAGAAAAGGGAAAGGTCTCAGACCAGGTTCAAACTGTGACTGAGGATCTACATATGGTTCAAATGGACTTACTTAAAGATCTTATAAATCATCTTCTGATTTCCAAAGAGAGGGAGGCTGCTTTGAAGTTGCAAGCTACTTTGGATTTAGAAGAAATTTTGTGGTGTCAGAAACCAAGGGTCAAATGGCTTAAAGAGGGGGACAAATGTTCTGCTTATTTTCATAATATAGTTAAACAGAGGAGATGTTATAATTCAATAACCTGTTTAAAACATCCTAATGGGGAGATATCTTCTGAGCCTCAAGTGATCAAGGATTGGTTAGTTAATACTATGAAGATTTGTATTATGCTACTAATGGTGTTGTGTCTGATGTTGTTGCTCCTAGAAAATAACTTGAAGCTGAAGCTTTGCAGGATCTTGATAAAGAGGTTACAACTGAAGAAATTAAAATGGCTATGATGACTTTTAGTTTAAACAATTCCCCTGGTCCTAATGGGTTTCCAGCTAGATTCTTTCAAAAATACTGGCCCATTGTAGGTACTGACTTGATTGATGCAATTGTGTATTTCTTCAAAGCTGTTGTGATGCCTATGGGGAAAAATTTTACCTTTCTTGCTTTGATTCCTAAATAAAATCATGGTGACAAGCTTGAGAATTATAGGCCTATTTCCTTATATAATCTTACTTATAAGGTCATCTTAAAAATCTTGGCAAATAGACTTAGTGTGGTTCTTCTAAGTATTGTTGGGCTGGAACAGTCTGCCTTTATCTAGTGAAGAAGGATTCATGATAATATTCTTTTGGTAACAGATATGATTAAAAATTTTGGTTTAAAGTCAAGTGGTCCTGCTATGGCTTTAAAGATGGATCTTAGAAAAGCTTATGATTCTGTGAGTTGGGATTTTATTCGAAAAACTCTTCAGCTTTATGGGTTCAGTGCTACATGGATAAAGTGGATCATGCAATGTGTTACTTCTTCCAAGTTTTCTGTTCTTTGTAATGGTGTGCCTACTGGATTTTTTGCAGCTGGGAGAGGGATTAGACAGGGCTGTCCACTTTTTCCTCTTCTTTTTACCTTAATTACTGATTATTTCTCTACCCTAATGCATCAAAAAATTCTTGGAGGTCAGATTAAGCTCTGTAATTTGGTTCAGAAGACTAGTTTATTGGTTTCTCATGCCTTTTATGCTGATTATTTATTCATTATAGTGAAGGCAGATATTTCTATAGCAAAGTCAATTGATAAGGTGCTTAAGAGGTTTCATGAGGTGACTAGTCTTACAGTGAATAAAGATAAAAGCTCAGTGATTTTCTCTAAGGCTGTTAGAGGGAAGAGAAGGATATTACAGGTTCTTCAAATGAAAAATGAAGCTTTTTCAATTAAATATCTTGGAATTACTCTGGAAAATAGGGCTCTGAAGGCTGTAGACTGTAAGGGTCTATTTGATAAAGTCAATGCCAGGGTTGATCATTGGAACACAATCAATTTGTCTTTGGCAGGCAGGATAGAGCTTATTAAATCAATTTTTTATTCTTTCCTTTATCATTGGGTTTTTGGATTTAAAATCCCATGGGGTTGTATCATTGCTTTGGAAAAAAAGTTTAAACACTTTTTATGGAGCGGGAAATTGGATTCAAGGAAGATGTCTCAACTCAAATGGAGTCAAGTCACATTGCCTTACACCGAAGGAAGTTTTAATCTTAGAAGAATTTCAAATATTGATTTTGTTGCAAAAGTTACTATCTGTTGGGATTTTTTTAAGAACAGGGAGGCTTTGTAGGTGCAGTGGATGCATGCTCGTTATTTACATCATAAAAATTTCTGGATGGTGGTTCTAAAGGTTCAAGATTCAAGTATCTGAAAGCAACTACTTGATATTAGGGATTTTATTCAAGAAAATGTGCTGTGCAAAGTTGGAAATGGTGCTTCTTTTAACATGTTATTCAACCCCTGGTGTGTAGGTTTGTCTTTGGTCCAGAGATTTGGTGCCAATATGTTTGGAAATTTTGATAAGCAAGCAACTGCAAGAGCTCTTTTTGCTTATGGAGTGTGGTTATTTCCTCCCTTCTTTTCGGAGGAGGCTGTTGATTTCATTGCTAATATAAATTTAAAGGCTGGAGAAGATGAAATTAGTTGGATTTCTGGTGATTTCAGTCTGAAAAATGCTTGGTCAGCTTGTAGGACTAGGGGGCAAGTGGTAAAGTGAAGTTGCCTGTGTTGGAAATTTTGCAGACCTTGGATTTCTGCTGTGTTTGTTATCATTATGCATAATAAAATCCTGTCATGTGTGAACTTACAGAGGCGTGGTTTTTATGAACCATCAGTTTGTCACAATTACTTTCAAGATGAAGACTCAACTAACCATTTGTTTTGTATGTGTTTATGTTGTTACAATATGGTAGCAGGTTGTGATTTGGTTGGGAATTCATGCTATTAGGTTTCATAACCTAAGATCATTTGTGGAATGGATGATGCAGATTACAAATAATAAGGGGAACAAGTCTAAGATTTTGAAAGGGCTATTTTCAGTTTTTATTTGGAAGATTTTGTTGGAAAGGAATTCAGCCTTACATAGAGGTGTCAAAGCTTCTTCTTCTACTGCTGCAAATGATATTATTTGGGAAGTTTTGAATTTCTTTTCTTTTGGTCTAGTTGATGTACCAGTTATTTTTGATGTTGCTTGATGCTTTTGTTGTTGGTTTTTCGTTTGTTTTGGAAATGGTTTTGTTCCATTTCATGTCTTCTTGTAAAGAGAGGTATGCCTCTCTATTGTATTCTGTACTTTAGTTTTCTATTTTGAATTTTTATAAAATCAACCCATTCAGGAAAAAAAAATAATTAATACAAAATAAATACAAGTAGTAATGATACAAATATTAAAAATATAAGTCTCTAACTATTAATTACATAATTACCCAAAGTGTCAGTTTATAGATTCTAAAAATTTTGCTGAGGAAATTAAAGTAATTACTAATTAATAAAAGAGTCTATATTTCTCTCATGCTTAAGAGTCAAATGCCATGACCGTGATAGGGAGCAATTGCATACGACGGCTCTCGTAATATATCTCAATAATCCAGTTCAAGTTTTAGTTAATAATGAGTCCATCCATAATTACTAACTATGAACAATTTATAAAAACTATTTATATTCATGTATTGATCGCCATCAGACACATATATAAATATCTCTTGTAGTCAAGTGGGAACTTTCAATTCCATAATGAATAGAAACATAATACATTAAATTCACTAATTATATAAATCATAAATGATAGGGACAAATAACCTACCTTGACCAGCTGCCAGACCTCTTCGACATAATTTGTTATCAGAGATAAAGATTTCCATTGGATAAGAATGATGACATTTCTTATCCAGGATAATGAATGACGACGTGGTTCAATACGGTAAGGATAACCTGGGCACAATTTGAGAAAGTCAAAGGAGTAAATCATATCCCCGAAAAATCTGGCAACAAACGATCTCCTCTGATCTCGCATAAGCGGATATCTTGCGAGACCAATTTGATTCCAATCGACAACCATAAATAGGGCACCGAGCCGTTAAAGAAGGTACGAGAAAAAACCCCTCAGAGAATTTACATAATGATTATGTGATACGATTACAAGTATTAACTTGATCATCGGAGGGTTCTCGGCTGGCACCCCACTGGTGCCAGTCGAGATGACGTCCTTTTGTTTTGCAGGTAAACGCCGTCGTTTCGAGTTATGAGGATTTTCGCATCAATAGCTGGCGCCGTCTGTAGGAACGATTAGTTCTCAAAAGAAATAATAATCTTGATGCGACTTGGCTCAGACGGCAAAACGACAGTTTTCGATCATAAAAACCATCCCAAAGTCATTAGTTGACAACAGGTTTCCATGTTCTTATATAAGGACGGGTCTCTACATCATGATTACCTATCCATCATATTGGGGGTAAAACGATGGGTTCCGTGATGCCACCCAGTGTACGATGACAATAATCATAATTTGGCACGTCGACCTAAGTAGTCCAATGTGGTATTTTCCATTTAGCGATGCTTGGACCCCTCACTACTGAGGTTTGTTCATCTAAGACCAAACTCTATCTCTGGCCACAGTCAACTACCAAGGCCTAATCGTTAAAGACTAAGGCCTGGTCCTTCTGCACCTACATAAATGAGTTGGTCTCCACCCATCAAGAAGATCACTACCAATAAGGTGGTTTCTACCTACTAATAAAGCCTGCACCTACCAGACGACAGTTGTCACCTCTCTTCCTTTACAGGAATTGCCTATCGACTTCAGATTATGTAGAATTTTGGATTGATAATCCATAGCAGGTTAATTTTCAGTAATCATTTCCAACACAATCTAATATTTTTAGATAACTGTAAATTGTTACAGCACCAGGCACCCCATCCGCTGTATAAACATCTATAGAATGGGTCATCACCTAAGATCCCACCATCGGGGGCAGAATAGTGAATCACATAATATCAATCATCGATCTACATATGATGACAAGGTTCAAAAGATTGACGTACCAACTTTGGTACATTGGACTAGTCGGGTTTCTAGCTTCTCTCCTTTAGCAAGCCCTCGGGGAACAAGTCGCCTAAGACCAGTGCCCGATCCTCCAAAACCATAACTTGGCAAGTCTCTACACACCAAGGAGGACTCTAAGTCCAGTGAAATTTCTACAATCAACGAGTCGACCGTGTCCAAGGTGGTCCCATAAGGTTTTTGACCATCAAACACTAATTATGGTCTTTTCAACCTGGAACCAAGCTTAGTCACATGTGCTTTAAATTTGATGGGTCACTACCACCATAGCCATAAAGCAAGGCAAACATAAAGGATAAGTCCACGAAAGTGAAAAACTTTGACTCCCTTATTAAAGGGCAAGCATATAAAGCTTAGGCAAAACATCCCCTTATTAAAGGGGCGAGCTGGGTGAAGCTCATAAAAAATAACCCTTTATTAAAGTTGAAATATCCCCGTATTACAAGGAATGATAATGAGTGTCTTATATTATAAGGACCAGGGCTGAATGAATCTCGTAATCAATATCCTCGTATTACAAGGGATGATAACAAATGTCCTGTATTATTTTTTCCCTTACTAAATGGACGAGCTAAGTGAAACTCGTAAAACCTAATTCCCTTATTAAAGGGACGAGTTGAGTGAAGCTCGTAAAACCTAATTACCTTATTAAAAGGACAAGCTGAGTGAAGCTCGTAAAACCTATTTCCCCTACTAAAAATAGTACCCAAGGGCAGAGTACCCAAGGGTACCAAAAATAGTACCCAAGGGAAGAGTACCCAAGGGTACTAAAAATAGTACCCAAGGGTACCAGAAATAGTACCCAGGGGCAGAGTACCCAAGGGTACAAAAAAGAATACACAGGGGTAGAGTACCCAAGGGTACTAAAAATAGGACCTAGGGGCAGAGTACCCAAGGGTACCAGAAATAGTACCCAAGGGTAGAATACCCAGGGGTAAAATACCTAAGGGTACAATAAATAGTACCCAGGGGCAGAGTACCCAAGAGTACCAAAAATAGTACCCAAGGGCAGAGTACCCAAGGGAAGATCACCCAAAGGTACTAAAAATAGTACCTAAGGGTACTAGAAATAGTACCTAGGGGCAGAGTACCCAACGGTACTAAAAATAGTACCCAAGGGAAGATTACCTAAGGGTACCAAAAATAGTACCCAAGGGAACAATACCCAAGGGACCATTACCCAAGGGAAGAGTACACAGGGGAAAAAATAAATAAATAAAATAAAATTACTACTGTTCATGTGAAAGATAGGGCAGTGGGCATTACATTCCAAAAGCTAGACGAGTAAGCTTGGGAATGGGGGGCAACTGATAGGGACAAATAACTGATGGTGGGTTCAAAGGCTGCTTTACCACCGTCAAGCTTGGAGAGTGTGAAATTTAAGGCGAGGGCCAAGTTTACATTTATAAAAGCCACTACTACCTTCACTAAAAATATAGTTAGGGTGAGTAGGGATCGTCCCAAGGGATTGGAGTCGTACTTGGTTATGGAATCGCAATTAGGGTTAGTAGGTCGAGTGATTAAACAAATGGTTGGTTGGTTGATTAAACTAGAGAGCAACTAAATTAAACTAAATAATTGAATGCAACAAAGGGTAAGTAAGAGAGACAGAAATCTTGGGGTTTAGAGGTCACCACCAAGCAATGTTTTTCTACACTTCTAACTAGTGACTAATGAGGGTAATGTGTGTTGCATTATTGGTGTGTGTGTGTGTGTTTGGTTGATTCAATTAGCAAGGGTGACCAATTAAGCATACATTATCTAATCAACATATGAAAAGCACAATATATCTAGCAATTAAGTATATATTGTCTATATAGCATGTGAAAAGCACAATATATCTAACAAGTCATTAATCATTTCATTAACCTCACAAGCCAAATACACCACAAGGTTAGAGACTTATGCTACTTGTATTTAAAAGTATGGAACATCAAACAACTAGCATGGATTGTCTTCTCATCTAACAACTATGCTACCACTACACTACAATTAGGCTAATGACATGAAATTAAACTAATTAAGCTAAGGGAGAGGCATAATCCATCAAGAAATGACCATGGACCATCTAGAAAATCACAAGAGCATTCTTTTAAGCACAATGTTTTGACAATCTCTAAATCTATAGCATTAATACACATAGACATGCATCAATAACACAAGAAATAGAGGCAAACACATGAACATCTATTCTAGCATACATAGACATATGGATAGAATGAAATGATCAATTGGAAGCATTAAACCACATAAATTATTGAATAAACAAGATTTATATATATATAAGTATCAAAACATGTACTACAACACTAATCCCTCAATAATACACAAGATTAAGATATAGAAAGCATGCTTGGGGCTAACTCTAGCCCCAAGAGGATGTCTAGCCACTCATGGTGATGTTGCTCCAACCCTCAAGGGCTAACTCCATGGAAAAGATTTGCTCCTTGGTTGATGAAGAGTCTCCAATGGTGTCTCTAGCCTCCTCTTCCTCTAAGCTTGCTCTCAAGTTGTGATATGAAAATGATATTAGCCCCCCTTTGTAAAAAACAATCCTTATCCTTATATAGGTAGGTCAAATGACACCCAAAAATGAGCTGGGGTTGTGCACACAATATTCCCTAATGATTGGATAAAGGACAACTTTC